GCACGCCGCGACCCTTCCCGCCGCGTCCACTCACCGCGAGCCGGGGCTCTGCCACCGCCACTCCCGCTCGGCGAAGCCACCGGGCGACGTCCACGCTCCCCACAGCCGCCAGCGCGGTCGCGTGCGACGCCGGCCACACGCCCAACCAACGTCCGCTTCCGCCGGAAGTCTGCAAACGTCACTGCGTCGCCGGCCGAGCCGCCGTTGCCAAGACACCGACCCGATTCTGCCGCGACGCGGTCGCTATGGTAACCAGGCCCGCTAGTAGGGAGTGGGCAGTTCTAAGCTCGGCGCCCCGGCTCTCGCGGAAAACGTCTGCCGGTTCCTCCTCGGCGGGCAGCCCACTCCTTGGCGCGTTCGCCAGGCTGCCGCCACTCGCCCGCCCTCGCGCGGCTCCAGCCCTCTGGTTTGTAGCGGCGTTAGGAGAGCATCAAATCTGGTAAAACATGTTCAAGCTTCTTTTAGACATTAGCAACCGACTTATTACAAAACTTTTCGGCTCCTTTGGCATCTGCTGTTTCGCTTTGCTTTCCCTTCAGCCCAGCGAGACAAGGAAGGAAGGTGTCCATCCTCAGAGGAGCAGGTAACCCAGCGATGGGGCCGCAGAGCTCGGGGTGGCGACTCAGGTTCCAGGCGCTGCGCCGTCCCGGGCTCCGGGAAAAGCAGCCGGCGCCGCCCCCGAGGCAGCGCGGCACACCGGGCCTTCCCTCCCTTCCCTCCCTCGCGGCCTCTCTCCGGGCTCTCTTCCTTGCGTGGTACCCGGGTGTAAAAACCAGGTCTGAGGCTTTGGCAGCGTGACACAAACTTCACTCGGAGATATTAAATGGGTTCTGTTGTTGCCGCCGCTTACATTTACTTCCCTTTTAATCTTTCTTCTACCAAATCTCAGGTTGAGAAGCATTCAAGAGAAACTTGAGCTGGATAGATAAGATAATCTAATATGGTCATTATGTAATCACGGTATGAATTACAAAGAACAGAGTGACCCAGGCAACACAGAAAATCTAAAAATTGGTTCCCCGCTGGATTTTTCATATTTAAGGCAGACATGAAGAGCTCAGGCTGAATCCAGGATAGCAGTGGCTCTACCAAAATACCTAAAGCAACAGAATGAGGTGTCCCGAATACCTTCCCACACAGTATTATGAGAACAATGCCCCGAAGGTCCCTACCCTCAGTCAACGTCCTTTCCAGTACTTGGTCCTTCCTCGGATAGAGACCCTGTATAAAGACATACGCTCTAGTACTCCGGTTTGTCCAGCAAAAACCACTTTATTTTTACTTACTATTCCGTTAGGTTTTGGGTTGTCTCTTTTATTGTGTTTATTTGGGTTTAAAAAATGAGAAAGATACTTTTAACCCAGCAAATCTAAAATGTTTTGTTGTTTCATCTCGATATACTTCGCAGTCCTAAAACGTACCAGCGTTTTTAATCTCCATAATGTCATTTTCGATCAAAGTAGTATTTTACTGATGTCATCTGATATCTGGGTTTTAAAATGTCCCTGGTTGTTTCTAAAATGTATTTTTATGTTTTGTTTTCTTGAATCAGGACCCAAACCAAGTGTGTACATCGAATTTGGTTGTTCGGTCTCTTAAATATCTTTGAAGCTGCAGCAGCCCGGGTTGTCTATAAGCTAAATCCATTTGTCTATTCATATTAGAATTAACACACTTTTTCATGAATCCTTGCTCATTAATCCTTCATGTTTCATTTTTCTAGAGCAGCACTGTCGGATAGAAAAATAATGTAACCCACAAGTGCAGGCCACATGTGATTTTAAATATTTTGTTTAACCTACTGTATCTAGAATACTGTCATTTCAGAATGTAATAAATTTAAAATTGTATATGCGACATTTCACATTGTTTGGTCCTCCCAAGTCTTCAAAAGCTGGAATGTATTTTTCCCACATTACCACATCTCAGTTTAGCCTGGATGCATTTCAAGTGCTCAAAAGCCAGGTATGAAGAGCAGTTCCTGTATGGAGCAGGGCGGTGTAGAGCACAGGGTCCCAACTCTGGAGCCTGGCATTTACCTTCCAAATGTGATCCTTAGTTTTCCAGCGTGATCTCCTGTTGCCTCCATAAGTGAGAAGTGTGAACAGCTGGATCTTTTCTAGGTGCTTCATCAATCAAGTGCGTCCCTTTGTCTATAACACCCTCACTCTTCCCTTCCCCTGTAGTTTTGTCCCTCCTTTAAAGTTTGTATCTCCACCGAGCCTTTTATGATGACCCAGCCCTTGAAAATTACTTCCTCAGCTCTCTTAAGTCTTGTGTGTGCTCACTTGCATCCATCCCACCACAGCATACCCTCTAAAGTGCGTGTCCACGCTCCCCGTGGACTTTGCAAGAGCACAAACATCTGAGAAACAGCTTCTGCTTCCATGCCTCATTCTCTGGACTTTCAATGATATGTGCTTCTACTGTTGCACCTTCACTAGATCCATTTTATGTGGAACTAATATAGCCAAAATCTGAACTGTGTTATTTAGTGGTTGAGAACTTCAGTTCTGAGTCAGACTATGGAGGGAAAGCCCAATTCTGCCTTTTGCTGGCTATGAGTACTTTTTAAAGTCAAACTCTGTTTTGGTCTTCCTCTAGAAAATGGGAATAATAATAACATCTCCCTTCTAGGAAACTGAGATAATTGTGCCTGGAAGAAGTGAGTGTTTGGTAAAGGTTAGGTATGCCCTTGCTGATAAGTAGCATTATTGTCATTAACCGTGAGATGCTGAGTTGCTGTTTGATTTATAGCAGTGTTTTGGGAATTTCTAAACAACAAATGAAGATCAGAAGCTACTAAATTAGAATAATAAAAACAAAACACTTATTGAATATACTTTTAGTTTTGATTGCAGGATAGTATTAAAACCATGAGCAGAACTCTCTTAATTTGCATCATCATGGGCAACATAGGTATATATCATGACCTGCATGACTATCGAAGGTCCCAGGGAAAAATGGCAGCGGGATGAGGAAAATATCAACAAAAGACAAAGCTGAGGTCAGATGGAGTCCTTTGATGGGAGGGGAAAAACTGAACAACAGTAGGGGTGTTTACTTATACTTTTGACAAGGTTAGTATTGTGAGACAGGGTTGCCTAGCAACTAGTGACTGGAATTCTCTCAGAGAGGATGTTTTTCTCAGGACCAAAGTATTTCCAGCTTCAGCAGCTCCCTACAGGTATACATTGAATGTCTGATTCTAATGCAGTTAACAAAACACTGTAAATACATAGGAATAGAAGCATAAATCAGAGGTTTAAAACCATTAGTTATAGTGGTAGCAAAAAACATAGTTATCTAATCTATTAGGTTAGTACTAGCCTGCCCCTACACTAATTTCCACCAGACATTAGCAAAATTTTCTTTTCACATCATACTAGCAAACTGTGCTTCTCATTGATGGATAATAAAATATGTACAGTTGTAGTCATCAGCTTTCTGTCACTACAGTGAAATACCTCAGATCATAAAGATCATAAAGAGAAAACATAAACTCATAAAGAGAAAACATTTACTTGGCTCACAGTTTTGGAGGGTGTGCTGCAAGCTCACTGTTGGGGGAGTCATACAGCAATGGTAAAGACTGTAGGGGAACAATGCAGTCCTCATGGCCAGGAAGCAAAGTGAAAAGAGCAAGAGACCAGGTCCCACAGTCCAGCAGCCTCTGGGTCTCCAATTTGGCCTCAGCTCCCAAAGGATTCCCCCAAAAGATGCCAACCTGGCATGAGTCTTAAATGCAGGGGGCTAGATTGGACACTTAACTAACCATAGCTACAGTGTACTTGTGCTGAGTATTTCCTCTTAGCATTTTACTCACTTGTCCCCTCCTAGTGGCTCCACCACCAAATCTTCTTTAACTTGATCAGTCTTTATTTCTGTATGTTCAGGATTTTCACAGCAGTAAAGTAAGCTATATTTATTTTTAGTTATCACAGGATGTTGTGATATGTTCTGAAATTAGAGGTTTGCCTGGAGGGCAATTTAAACTCGAGGGAAAATAGAAAAACCACCAAGAGTTAGCTCATACTGAGGTGGAACATGATGACACTGTACCTTTGCTATATGAACATCTACTTGTTCACTTCACCAAGTATTTCTTGAGTGTCTGCTGTAGCCATACACAGGAGAAACAAGGAAGGGCCAGTCATGGCCCTTTCAGGAGCTTAGCATCGATCTGGTAGACAGATGTTTAAACAAGGAGCTGATGAAATGGTAAGTGCTAAGCAAGAGGAAGTACCAAGCGCTGTGACATCAGGCACTTACAGGCATGCACACAGAATAGGGCACTGAAGGACTGAAACTCTCGAGTCTAGATGAAACCAACCCAGGAAGAGGTACTACAGAAGTGCAAACCATGTTCTAGAGGAAGGAAGAGATGAACGACTCAGTTTGGAGATACTTCTCTCTTTTTTTTGGCAGATTATCATACAGCTTACACAGTACTGAGAGTCAGCTCTGATTTCAGTCGCCATAGTTTGGATCTGGAATGTGCCCACGGTGCGATCCACTGGTATTGGTAGAAAGTTGGGTCACTGAAGAGCGTATTGGGAAGCCTGGGCCCTTGCTGTCTCTGTTGCCCCCCAGCCTTGGTGAGGGAAGCAGCTTCCTCTGCCTGCTACCCCTGCCTTGATGTACTACTGCCTGGCCCTTGGCTCCAAGGCAACTGTACCAGGTGACCGTGGATGGGACATTCTGAAACTGTGACCCAAAGTAAGCCTCTCCTCCCTGCATACTGTGCTTGTTAGAGCAATAGAAAGCTGGCAACACAGCTATCCTACCTCATCTTTTATTTTTTTCAATTTTTATTTTTTATCAGTACATGTTGACATGGTATATAATGTTTACATTCATCATGGGGAGCTGATATATGTACATAAGATACCTCAATTCTTTTTATGTCTCCTTCCCCTCATCTCCCTCTATCTCTCGATTCCCCTCCCATTTGAAAAAGATTTATGTCCCTATTACTTATTTTGCTCTGTACTTATACTTTGGGTTTCTCGTATAGGATAAATCTCGTGATATTTATGCTTATGAATCTGATTTATTTCACTTAACATAATGGTCTCAAGGTGCATCTATTTTCCTACACATAATTCAAGTCTACCCTCCTCATGGCAGAGTCGTACTCTGTTG